AAAAGAATGTGAATTGTTTTAAAGGAAAAACCTTGAGAAATAATAGCTTACTTAGGTGGTACGCTGATTTGACAAACCTTGGGAAGAGGGTATAGGACCAGTGACCTGTGTGAAGGTAACACTGAAATAGAGGCAGGTGGGGTTGGAGTAGAGCAACCCAGCCCTGTCTCGGTGGGTGGGGGCACTGGGCTCCATCTTCTATTCTTATGTTTCAAAGGAGCAGTGGTGACATCCGACACAGTAGTCATTCCTGGGGAAGGGAGCCTTTTGGCTTTTGTAGAGGTCATTGTTGGGATGTCCAGCATAGGTGGGAAGGACAGAGCTCTGGAACACAGCTCCTATATTCTGCCATTTACTTCACATATGACCCTTTAGCAGCCATTTAACCTCTCTGTGCCTCAGTTTCTCCATCTCTAAAATGCCAATTTTATCCCTCACATCATTACCATGAGGATTAAATGGGGTGATGGAAGCATTTAACCAAGTGCCATTCACATAGTATTCAACTAATGTTATGGGAATGTTAACAACTGTTCTTCCTACCTCCAAGGGTTGTTTTAAGGATCCAGTAAATTTATGTCTTTATTTGAAAGTGATAGCAAACTATGAGATACTGAATACTGTCATTATAGCTATCATCATCTTTCTTTCATTGGTTTGAGAACTAAAATTACTAAAGGGCAAGGATTTTGTTAATCTGTTTATAGGACTTAAATATGTTACGTTGCCTGATCTTTGAAGATCAGCCACTTTCCAAATTCTCATGGATTTGAGAAGAGGCACACAGCCATGCCTCTAACTCTCTTGATATTCTCAGGTAGATGGTAAACCCAGAGTTGGCTTTTAATCATAGCCCTCCCACTCATTAGCTGTGTGACCTGGAGCAAATGACAGACCCTAGCCAACTTAGGACCCCTTGTGTAAAACCGGAGAAGGAGTAATTAACAGCCACCTTGTGGGGTTGATGAGATGAGGAGTGCAAAGCCTACAGCACCTGGTACCGTTGTATTCGACCCCGTCCCTTTCCCTCGCTCCTGCTGTGTTGGACATTGGACTGCATACAGAGACGCACTTCAGAGCAATTTTTAAAGTCTGGGGAAGGTGAGGGTGCACCTACTGGAGGAAGCAAAGACCAGAACTGGAAGTGGTGTGGAAATGTTCCCTAAAAGTACACTTAGTAAATAAATAGATGGAAGATGTTCAACATTGTATGGCTTATTAAGGAAATACAAATTAAAATGAGGTATGCATAAAAAATAAGGAGATTTTGATGTATGTTTAGTGAAATAGACATCACAGATAATTATTGTGGTAGTGAAAAAAGTAGAAAACCTTTCAATGTATGTTTTTTTCTTTTTAATTGAGATACAATTCACATACCATAAAATTCACCCTTTTAATGTGTACAGAATTATGCAAGCATCACCACTATCTGATTTCAGAAACCCTGTACCCATTGAGCAGCTGTTTCCTGTTCTCTCAGCCCTGGGAACACCAATCTGTTTTCTGTCTCTATGGATTTGTCTATTCTGGATATTTCATATAAATCACACAATATGTGATCTCTTGTGTCTGGCTTTTTTCACTTAGCATTGATGGACATTTGGGCTGTTTCTAGCTTTTGGCTTTTGTGACTAGTACTGTTATGAACATACATGTACATGTATTTGTTTGAGTACCTATTTCCACCATTTTGCTGATTTTTCAATGTATGTTGAGTCTTAGACTTATACCCCATGAATTAATCCCAAAGCAAGGGGAAAAAAAAGCCAGTCATGTCCACCAACATGTTTACCAGTATTATTTATAAGAGTGAAAAATTCAGAATGTTCTAAATGAGTAACATTAGTGGGGGAAAACATGTAAATTCTGCGTCACACTATTATGCAGCTGTATAAATGAAAGAGGAGGCTTGGGCAGTAGGATTATAACATGGAAGCTATGACCCTTGGTTCTAGAGTCAGATGGGCTGGGTTAGAGTTTGGCTCTGAGATTTATAGTAAATGACTTGTAGCAAATTAATTCACCTCTCTAGGCCTCAATTTCTCATCTATAAAATGGTGATAGTTCCATAGTGGTGCTGAGAGCTTTCACAGAAGGTGTCCATGTGATATGCTTGGCTCAGCCATTGCTAACACTTAGAGGATGAATATACAACCCATAATCCTGCCATTGGAGTGCCCTTTCTTCTAACCTTGGTTTTTCCATGCATTGCCAAGGCATCTTTTTTTATTTTGGTTATAGCATACATAAAATTTCACATCCTCCTAGTTTATTTGCCATTATATCACTGTTGTTGCTATCATTCAACAGAAAATTCTTTATGATACATGATAGGATTATGGGTTGTGTATTTTCTCTTTTCCATTTTATTATTTTTTTTATCAGTGGGAAAGATAAATGTATACTCATAGTAAGAATCTCTTCTGGGGCACTTTTGTGGCTCAGTTGGCTAAGCAACCGACTCTTGGTTTTGGCTCAGGTCATGATCTCAGGGTCCTGGGATTGAGCCTTGCATCTGGCTCCATGGTCAGCGGGGAGTCTGCTTGAGGATTCTCTCTCCCTCTGCCCCTCTTCCTGCTTGTGCTCTCTCAAAAAATAAGTAAATATTTAAAAAAAAAAAGAAGAAAAAGAAGAAGAAGAATGTCTTCTTAAAGAAGGAGGCCCTCTTCAGGAGGGTCCAGGCAGGAATACCCTCCATTAGACACTGGGATGGTGGAAGTATGTTTCCAGGTGCATCTTCAGGGACTTTTTTTTTTTTTTTTTTTTTAAGATTTTATTTATTTATTTGACACAGAGAAAGAGCACAAGCAGGGGGAGCAGCAGGCAGAGGGAGAGGGAAAAGCAGGCTCCCTGCTGAGCAGGGGGCCCAATGTTGGGCTCAATTGCAGACCCTGGGATCATGACCTGAGCTGAAGACAGACGCTTAAAGACTGAAGGCGCCCCTTCAGGGATTTTTTGATAAACCAGTATTCCCTGAGTCTGTGCAGGAGGCTGAGATGTATTTACTGGTCTTCTTCAAGGGGGTCTTTTATTCAGAGTCCTGGGAGCTAGGACTCACTGCTGCCTCCTCAGAGTGGGTTGTGAAAGTAGAGGTTAAAACCTAGGAGCACCCTTTTAAATTTTATCATTCAACCTAAGGGTTTCCCTGTGGGGCCTCCGTTTCCTCATCTGCTGCTCATCCATACTGATGATCTCTGTAACTTGGCGGGGCTTGTTTTTCCATTTCAGGTTCCGAGGTGCACCGATTATACCCGTGGCAGCCAAGCCTGGGGGGCCAGAGGCCCCTGAAACAGAAGCTCCACAGGGCATGTCAGAGCTCATTGAGGTACTGTCCACTTGAATCCAGGCTGGCCTCTGGCCCCAGCCCCACTCAGGCCCCCTGTATCCTACTCAGGCCCCTTGTATCCTGCTCAGTCTGAGAGGGAGAGAAGGGGGAGGCACCCCAGCAAAAGAGTCTGAGCTGTTCCTTTAACTACCACCACCCCTCCCCCAGGCACATGCATACCTTAGTGTACCCTCCCTCACTTCCCTCCAAGAGTTAAACCAAAACAGAAGCAGAGGCCTCAGTCTCTAGCCCAAGGTCCTACGGAGCTGTCCACACCCTTGTAAGTCATTCTTTTTCCTTTCTCTTGTCAAACATCCCCACTCAGACAGAGCAGCTCCTGCCTCCTGGGGCTCCAGGCCATGTCTTCCATTCCAGGCCTTCAGACCGTGCCATTCCCCCGGTGTGTCCCACTGGCTGATGGAGACGGGCCCAGCAGCAGGGCAGTGCTGCTCAGGGCCTCGTGGTCTCCACTAAATAATGGCGCTTCTGAGGCACAGGCTTTTCCTCCAGGCTCAGTGGTAGTAAAAGCAGGGAGGCAGCCCAGCCACCACAGGGTGCCCAGGGCAGCCAGAGGGCAGGGCGGGGGTGGTGGGGTGGTGGTGATGCTGCTGTGAGGATGACAGTGACCACAGTGTCCCTCAGTCGGAAGGGGGGAGTGGCAACTCTGGGGCTGGACGCTGGGCCCACCACCTGCTCTCTGTGTGGCCTTAGGCACGTGACCTGATCTCTCTTGCCTCTGTTCCCTCAGTTGTAAAGTTGGGAAAAGAACACTAGCTGTGGAGTCGGCGTGCAGGTTAGCTGAGGTTAATAGTTTCCTGTGCTCAGAACAGTGCTGTATCAGAGTTTACTACGGCAGCGACGGCACTTATCACATACCAGGAGCTCTACTGTTCTTTACATGCCTCTCACAGTGATCATGGGCTTTCACAGTGGCGCTGGGAGGCTCACATTATTTATCCCCGTCTTAACCAGGGAAGAGTCTGAGGTTCAGAGAAGTTAAGTAACTTGCCTAAGGTCTCACAGCAAGTATGTGGTGGAGCTGGCATCCGGTCCCAGATCAGTTGGGGTGTCTTTGGGATCCCCCTGCACCTGGACCCACAGAGCCAAGAACAGATGCGATCGTGTGCACTGCCACCATGTCTATGATTACATGGTGCTGCTGCAACTGACTTAGCAAAGCAAACCTTTTCTGGCTGAGGCTTTTGTTACTTTTTCATCTGCTTCAGAGAACAGTGGTCTGGGAACCTTGGACAGATTTTTTTATTAAAGCAAAATTCGCAAATGCTGCTATGAAGATGTTTGTGTAGTCCTTTAAGAAGCCTCTGCATAAATCCCAGGCCAAGCCTGTTTTGAATCTTTAGTCTTTTTTCCAGAATTGTTATCACAAGGCTGAGAGTTTGGAACATTCACTACCAAATACTTTTTGACAGCCTCTTTGCTAACGAAATCCGAAAGCAGCCAAATAGAAGGAATAATGCAGTCTTTACTTTCCTTTGTTTATTGGGAATTAGCTCTGACATCCGCAAGCACGTAGACAGCATGAGGAAAATGGGCCGGTGCAGCTGAAGCGCGCGGAAAGTGTTGGCGGAGCAGAAGCAGCAGCCCTGCAGACTGAGGGGGCAACACTGGCCCTTGGCAGACATTAGGTGGCCCCCGGCTCTGCCTGGGCTTGGAGCTGCCGCCTCACCCCCTCCCGCCCCTCCATACACGGCGGCAGCCCTGCTCACCCAGGGCCTTTGGGCCCCTGTGCTTCTCAGGCCCCATGCCAGCTGCTGGAGATACTTGGAAGGACTCAGGCCCTAGGAGAGAGACAAACAAGCAAATGCTCACAACAGCGTGTTAACGGGGGATGGGGGCGGGGAGCGCAGCCGTGCAGAGGGGGCCCAGAAGCCTTCCCAGGGGCGGCGTCTCCCTGGAGAAGGGGAGGTGAAGCTGGCTGGTAAGCTTGCAGGGCCTGCCAGTGGCTGGTGCCTGCTGTGAGAGGGCACGTGGAGGGGGATGAGGCCTCTCCGGTAGCTAGGGGCTAGACGATGACACATCTTAAATCCTGTGGGCTCAGAAGGCTGGGAAGGCCGGTGAGGTCCAATCGTTGTGCCCCAGGCTGTCGCGCAGCAGGCCCCGGTGCCGGCCTTTTGGGAGGCCGTTGGTTACCCCAGCGAGAGGAGAGAGGAGGCTTCTCCAGATGCCCTTTTCCTTCGAACCCAGAGGAGCCGAGGGCACGGCGGCAGTCTGGGCTGCCGTCAGGGAGCCGTCCGCTTCCGAGCGGGGCCAGCTTGCCCAGGGACTGGCCGCACCTTCTGCCCTGCTCCGCCCTGCCCAGTTCAGCTCCCGTCCCCGGCAGCGTGTGGCACCAGCGTGTGGCATCTCTTTTCTAGCTCCTGACATCCCAGATTTCCATCCCGACGAGAGACCCCTCGGGACCACTCCTCATGTCTGTGGACCACTGTTTCTCCATCAAAGGCCAAGGCACTGTGATGACAGGGACCATCCTCTCAGGCTCCATCAGCCTCGGCGACAGTGTGGAGATTCCCGCCCTCAAGGTCAGTCTTACCTTGTCCTTCGTTTTTGTTTGTCTCTCTAGTGGCGAGGGAGAGGGACGACCCCTTTGCCTCTCCAGCAGCTGAGCCTGCTGGGCCAGCTCCCCAGGGCTGGCCCTCTGGCTCTGCTCCACTCCCTCTTCTCTCCTACCCTGACTGGATTCTAGAATCACCACTCTCCCTAGTTCTCATAACAATACCCATGTATTGGAGGCCTATGATGTGCCGTGATGAGCCTCCCGAGTAGGTGTTCTTTGTAGATGAAGAAATGGAAGCCCTAGAAGGTGTAGTGGGCTCAGGATCACATGGTCAACAAGTGAGGGTGCAGGGTGTACACCCTCCCTTTCTACAAGCCCCATACCTCAGGCTGGCAAGTACACGTGGACTTCTTTCTGGGTACTTTTTGCCTCTCCACAAGAATTTCAAATTAAACACAATTACAATCTTGTGTCTCTCAGAGTCGTACAATCTGGAGGATATCCAGATGAGTTTTATACTGGTAGTGACCACTAGTAGGTACCATGTTATCCCTTGGAAGACTAGTGGGCAGCTGCGTGTCTCCCTATTGCCCCCACCTCTGGTAACCACTGGCCTGGCTCTGATCTGAAAGCTCTTTTAGTGACCTTGATAGTTCCCATCTTCAGTGGGCTTTTCTTGTGGTTTTAGTTTACTGGAGAAGAAACAGAGGCTCCTTGACCACCCTTCTCTTCAGGGGTAATAAAGGGTGGGCAACAAGGGCTAGTTAGAACCAGGCAGATCCTAAGAAGAAATCTGGGGTCCAGGGTAGCTGTCTAGTTCTCAAAGGAACCTGGAGTGCAGGGACATGGAAGCTTGCACTTGGCCCCGTGTACTAAGATGCAGTCACAGCCCTAAGTCAGTGAACTCAGTTTGCCTGCGAACTGGGAGTTCTCCCTGGAGGGCTGTGTTGAGACAGATTCTAAGACTGTCTGGCTCACTAGACATATTAGGGTTCTCCTCAAAAACAGAACTAAAAAGACATGTGTATATATGTATACAGAGAGAAAGGGGTGTATTTTAAGGAATTGGCTCACATGATTATGAGGCCCAGCAGGTCCAAAATCCACAGGATAGGCCAGCAAGATGGAGATCCAGGGAAGAGTTGCAGTTCAAGTCTGAAGGCTGTTGGCTGGCAGAATTTCTTCTTCTTCCAAGGAGGTCAGTCTTCCTGTTCAGGCCTTTAACTGATTGGACGGGGTCCACCCACATTATGGAGGGTAATCTCCTTTACTCAGAGTCTGCTCCTCTTAATGTTAATCTCATCCAGAAAATACCCTCACAGAAATATCCAGAATAATGCTCGACCAAACCTGTCAGTACAGTGGCTCAGCCTAGTTGACACATAAAATACACTATCACACTGTGGGGGAGAACCACGATAACAGTGGCTGCCCTGAACAAGGGGAGGGCAAGGGCACCTATATCTTGTGTTGGCCCTTCCAACTTGTGTTGGTCTAGGATAGCCTGGGAGGATGTAGGAAAGGGGCATTTCAGGGATGAGAGGAATGACCAGGGCTTCCCCAGGTAAAGGAGATCTCAGGTTTCAATCACCCTGCTCCACTCATTTTATGGTGCTGTGGTTGTTGCTTCCTTCTGCAGGGCTGGCGTTATTAGGGAAGAGTCTCCTGACCAGGGAGGACCAATCACAAGAAAAGCTTCCCCTATAGCCTGAGACTGGCCAGGTTGCAGGGCTCCCTGGGGTGGCAGCAGGAGTTGAAGGATGAAGCCCTGCCCTTCCGAGTCCCAGGGCCTCCCCTGACATTGGACCTGAATCCTAGGGTCAGAATCCCCTCCTCTACTGGCTGTTGTAGATTCTCCTCTGAAGACCATTAGTCCTGGATAAACACCACTTAAATCAAATCCATGTTGCGCCAGGGACTAAAAGTGTAAATCTTAAAAAAATAAAGCACAAAATTATGAAAATAAACCAAACTTATATATAACAAAGTCAAGATTATTATAGTGCTGCGTGTTAATTCTCAGCTGGAACAGAGAATGAATCAAATGGTAAATTTCTTTGCCTTCTGGGTGCTCCTTGAAGCAGATCCCAGGGGGCCACCCTCATCCAGTATCCCTTCTGGCTTGGGAGAAGATATGTTTGCAGCCTGGGAGAACAGCTGGGAGCAGGAAGGTGGTGTCAGAAGAGGTTGCTGTGGGACATAGACTTTGAAGTGCAGTACCTGAGGGAGGAAAAGGTGTTTGATGATAACATCAGTGGCCACCATGCTTGACCAAAGTATAGGATGGGGGAGGGCTGAGGCAGAAAGAGTCAGCCACATTAAGCAGACAGGGATGTTTGAGTGGGGACATGTTCTGAGGTCTTTGGCCACTCTTTTCTTTTTTTTTTAAGATTTTATTTATTTATTTGACAGAGAGAGAGACAGCGAGAGAGGGAACACAGGCAGGGGGAGTGGGAGAGGGAGAAGCAGGCTTCCCGC